AATAAAATAAAATAAAATAAAATAAAATAAAAGAAAATTAAATAATATAAATATAATTTTATATAGTTTTCGCTTACGCGATTTTCAGCCGAGCTCCTCCTCCTATTTGTGGTATTGCGTTATGATGTTTTTTCCAACAAATGGAGGGACCTACAGTTTATACTAATCCGTTTCTGAACGGCTTTTATTTCATGTCCAAAATACACACATTCCCTGCCGGGTGGGGTGGCAAGCGCAATTAGAAAATCTAAATTAAATTTATTTTTATTTAAAGTTAGGACGTTAGGACAACACCAAGATTTGAGCCTTCCGAATGGCAGTATGCAATGCTCACCAGTGGGCGACTGCAGTTCTAAGAAAGCTACGACCACAAGGCAATGTTCGGTAAGACCACATACTGAGTACTGACTGTACAAATCGGAAATAAGATCCGTATCTTTCTACGGTCTCACTGTCTGATCCCCAGCGCTAGACAATGCCACTTATAGAAGCAGGTTGGAATAAGTTCAGTGGACGGCCTCTACACTTATTATAGGTGCGCTAGCCTCCACTTCTTACGAAAGCTCTTGAAATTCGGCTTAATATTCTCCCTGCATGGCTACATTTGAAACTATACGCGAATTGCAAGGATATAAGAATAAATACAACTCAGCCAAGGAGGAATCGCAGAAGACAGACCCAAATACTAAACTCTAAATCACCCTTAGTGGACTTCGCCAATTTCGTCGAATACTACGACAACGTTTTATCAACGAAAATCCCAAAGAGGAACGAGTGCGAAAATGCAGCAGTTCTGGAACAAAGATCTATAGTCGTCTTCACCGACGGCTCAAAACTATCGAGTGAGTAAAATGTGATGGTCGCATTCCCAGCAAAGTAGCCGCGATAACGGAAGCATGTTTGCTCGTTTCTCAATACGTAAAACTAACCTTTGACAATCTATTTTGACAGCCAGGCTACCATTAAGCCTATCCAATACAATCATATCAACTCAAAGATGGCAAAAAAGAGCAGAGAGGTCTTAAACCAACTCTTAAATGCATGCGAAACTTCCGTGATTTAGGTGGTTGGTCATAAGGAAATCTAAACTGGATAGAGAGGTTACAACCCCAACTAAGGTAAACCCTTCACCAGAAAGGCCAACACCAGATGGCAGGGGGAAACCACGTGTAGGGTGTCAAGACAAATCCGGTCAATATTCGAGGTAAATAGAAAAAAGTATGTACTACTGCTAAATCGGACCTCCATAAGCATGACAACCAGCGTAATTAACGGATATTGTCCTGTGGAGACTTTTGTTAAAAGGATGAACTGCTTCTCAAACGTCTTCTGCCGAGGCTGTAGGGACATAGATTAGAAGGAATCTCTCCTTGCGATCCGCTGTAGGGTTCTCGGCAGTTTCATCTTTGATTTGCTTGCAAAGCTAGTGAATTTCATGAAACACACGAAGTTGTTCGATCATTTGGAAAGGTGAAAGGACCAGCATAGGTATCACAACGGGCGGATAGGCTCAAGTGCGCCTGATCAGGGTTCTGCGGTCAGATTCAAGTCCCCCTCTCGATAGCGTCAAACAATCTTTGATGAACCTGATATATATAAGTAGGTGCCAGTTGGCATTGGGACCGCTGGTGTGTAATATATTGATGAGATTATAAGATTGGGTATCACGGGGTACGAAATATTTGGACTCAGGCTGGCCGCTGTACCATTGGTATAAACCCAACCATGAGTCAGGTTGCATGCAGAATAGCAAGGAGAAATCATCTCGGTACTTTCATCTTCACCGGCGAGGCAGGAGGTACGTAATTTATGGTCAAATATAAAATGTACTCCTCCTAGACTTGAAAGGAAAAAATCATATTTTCTAGCAAAACTCTTCTTTCCTACGCTACTCCAAATAACACTCCAACAACTACAATATATAAGATTGCAAATTCTATAAAGCGTAAAGTTGCCATAAACAGAAAGTACCAGGAAGGGGGAAGAGTTGCTCCAGGAAAATGTGTTGAATATCAATGAATATGCTGCAAATATTTGCTAGACAGAGATTTCAACGCACACAAGCCAGAAAAGGGCGTAAAGTAAGAAGAAGAATCTGAAGCTGGCGATGCCAATATTTTACATGAATACAGAGACACTTCTAGACGTATGCGGCTCTACAGCTATGCGCTGTGCTGACACCAACATTATCAATACATTTTCCACATTTTGATACATATATATATATATGTACGAGTATGTACATCTATTGGCACAACTTGACTTTACTTGAATTCTACTTGGCTGCGATACGCCTTTTCTAAGAGCAGTTCACTGCTAGAGCTTGGCAGCGTAGCGCATGAGCCAACATAACAACGATTTATATTTTTTATATTGTATATACATATATATGTATATATATATATATACGCACATGCATTCATACATACATATGTATTTATGTAAGTATATATTTTTTATATAAATTTTAGTCACGTTCCGGCTTGAGTCCGTCGACTCGCACAACGATTCAATGGGTTTGCATTCATTTGCGTTCACTGGCGATATTGGCAGCAGTCAGCAGCAACAACAACAACATAAGCGTGTGTATAGTTATGTGTAGCATAATATTAACGAAACAACAACAAACAGTTTGGGGGCCAAAAGTGCGCACATTGTTATTCATGTTGCTGCAATACACGCCATACGCTGTTGTTGTTATTTTTTTTGCTGCTGTTGGTTTCTTTGTTGTTGTTGTTGTTGTTGTTGGTTTATTTATTGTTGTTTTCGTCGTCGTTACTGTCGTTGTTGTTGTTGCTGTTGTTTTTGTTGTTGTTGTTTTTGTGTATGAAGCGTACATCTCCTTCGATTGGATATTATTTTTGCATGAGCCCAGGCAACGACAACAAAACCAACATCATCATCAACAACAACAACAGTGGCTTCATACAAAATGGGTTTATTTGCTGGTCTTCTATTTTAAGTTTTATTTTTTTTTTTTAATTTTTCTACTTCAACTTTTTTCTATAGAAAAATTGCCAACTCCAACAGAAAAGTATTGCAACAACACTGCATAATGTCAGCCATTTATGTTTAGCTGTCGCTGACTGCTGCCTGTGACCGACCAGCCGGCAAAGTTGATTCAGCTACTTTGCCTTGCTGCTGCTCATTGTTGTTTTATTTGCTGTTGTAGCTTACATAAACATATTTTTATATTATTCTACTCATACTTCTGATGGTTATTATTATTAGGCTGCTCATGTTGCTCATGTTGCTCATGCTGCATGCTTATATTGTTGTCGTCATGGTAAAGCGCTGGTTGTTGCTGCTGTGCATTTTAAGAAACCAGCGCTGCTACCAAACTCACTGTAACCAATGAATGCTAACAACCCATGGCGAGGTGTACAGTGCAAGGGGCGAGCATGAAAATCCATATAAAAAATAATAACTACTGAAAACATTGACCATGCCAAGTACGGTCTTTCTGCATGGTCGATCATCAGACGATTTGTTTTATTTTTCTTTTCTTTTTTCGTCTCTTATCTGGTTGCGGTGAGCAAGCTGCAATTATTACCGCCACAGCTTGCTGCTGTAGAAAAACCTGCCTGCCTGCCTGCCAGCCAGCCACTGCTGCCTGCTGCATGGATATATTTACTACGTGCTGCGGTCAATGGGATCGCAGACAATGAGCATACAGAAGCAGCCAGCAGCAGTCAACGCCAGAGAACCGCCAGTGCAGTGCATGGGGTCTGTAAAGCAATATTGCGGCGGTCTCACTGCCTTCCTTGTTGCCACCGCCTCTCGCAATACTACCAGCACTAATGGCAGGGGGTGGGGCTCACGACAAGAGTAACAAAAACAACAAAATTAAAATAAAAAGAAATTTAAAAAAAAAGTTTTTTTTTTGAAATAAAAGATTGCTTACTAGGCAGTTGTCTCAAGAGCCACAGACAGACAATCCGGATGGAAGTTGGTGAGTGCACAACCATGGCTGCCAACTTGTACAAGAATTGGAAGCCACAAAAACCACAAAAGAGGCAAGTACATGCATAGTCGTATGCACTACAAAGAAAGCTTTAGCAACAGCAGCAGCATTCGGCGCAAATATACGCTAACATACATACAACCCTCCATACTGTGGCTTCGTGTAAGAGAATCGAAAATGTATCTGCCATTGGCAGCAAAGATCATGAACTTTAGATTTTTTTCCAGACGCAATCTCGAGCTGCCAACTCGCGTTTGTTGGTGCTTGAATTGCTGCCATGCCATAGCAACACAGTAGTTGGCCAAGATAAATCCACTTTTGTTTGTCTGTGAGAAAATATTAGTTGTGGCTATGATACGCTAGCTGTTGGCGTGTAGGAAAATAGTAAGTTGTTGACGCCCACTAGCGTTGTGTATGAAATGCCGCTACGAGGCAGAAAGGTAGCCTTTGTAATCTTCGGCTACCTGCCACAAGAATCAACAACAGCAAGTGGTCACAATAGACGTGGCAACAATATAGCGGTGTTGTTGGTGCATTTGGCAAACTACTTGTTTGCAACAAAGTCGAAATTGTGCTGCCCACTTCCTGGAGAGTTGACGAGCTTCTTGTGTATATAACAAATCGAAAAGTTATAACCGACAAAGTATTTTAGGTTGCGTAAAAGTACGATACAAGAATGGTTTTGTAAATTTTCATTTAAAATTGATGCAGTTTCATCTCCCCTAGCTCTGTTGGAAAAGCTTTGGGATATTTTTCTTTCAACTTATTTCAAATTTCAACGCTCCATCTCTTCTTTTCAAGTATTCCTGAGCAATTTTTTACGTCTTCCTATGTTATAGATCCTAATATTAGGTGTAGTAAAAAGAAATCCATTATTTTTGCTTGCATTTATTTTTTTCTTCTCGTATCCAACCTTCGTCAAATGATTTCAAACGTGTTTTTGTGCATTCTTTAGCTCTTGGACAAACGAAACAGTGCTTAACTGACGGTCGGACTCGACAATGTCCATGATTTTATCGACATTTGCAGCTTGCGGCAATTGGCCTTCCACTCCGTTAGGCATCTTTTACATTAAAATTGCCGCAATGAAGCTGAAATTGTGCATGACTGACTGTAACGGTATTATGGTCCTGATGCTATTCACATTTTCATGTTGTTTGTTAGTGACACCAAGGCTAGAGAACGGGTGCACCAGTCTTGCTGCAATTTTCTGAGGATGTCCGTTGTGGCTCTGAGAGGATCTATAAATAAAAGAACCTTATATTTTTCCTGAGAAATGGTCGGAAAATTGGAAAAATCCAAAAAACTACTTTTTCTATTATATATATATATTATATGTAAATATATTTTTTTTTTTTCAATTATTATTTTTTTTTTTTAATTTGATACGTTGCCATGAAGATATCGGTCTAATCGGACCAACGCAATTATACAGCATGTCTTACGGAAGAGAAAAATGTTACTGAATATACGCGATTCGGAATCACTGAATATTGTACGAGACAATCACGAGAGCCTCACGAAGCTTACAATGAGTAATAACGATTGAGAAGAAGACAAATTCGTGCTCAGAAAATTCATGAGGCAAGAGAATAACGTTTGGCTGCTCAACAACCAGCAACAACAACGATTGCCACTTTTGAATATCGAACATGCAGCCTTCCGCTATGAGCCGGACTTTGAATAATTATATAACTGAAATTAATCATAAACAAATGGCTTTCAATTGAATTAATTTCTTTACTATTCAAGAAACATAATTTCACGCAGGATAACGCCTGGGGGTCAAGTAGTGGACATAAATTTCACCGCAATAGCTCTGCCGCCATTTGCTTAGCGTATATTTTGGAAGAGACTCGAGTAGCTTGGCGGTGGGTTTACTTACCTGTCTCCAAGCGGGCGTAGTAAACTGTGAAAATATCCAAAGCTTTATCTGCGAATTTGAGACTTTTGCGCAACCGTCAGCGTCTATTGCAGCTTCCAAGAGCATACCGAAAGCAAAGCGCTGAAGTCCTTTCGTATTCTTAAAAATCGTGCCACACCACTGTGCCCTGAAGTACTGATACTCAGCTCACCTGGGGCTTATAACCTGTGCAGCGGTCCTAAATCTGTACATTTGCCACCAGTTTCGTCGCTGGTACATTCGTTTTGGCATTGAGGCTAGGAAGTCTGTTAGAGGCTACAAAAAATTATTTTTTTCTTAAGTCTATCTCAACTGTATCCAAGAAAATCTCACTTTCACTGGCCAATTCGACACGTTTTGGACGTTTTATTGGCCCAGCGTCGAGCAGGTTCGATTGCTCGGTCAGAACATTGAAACGTGCTTTATCGCGTTTTCCTTTTTACAAGTCTTAGAAAATGGTGCCTGTGATAGCAAAAGGAATATTTGTCTGATCGAAAAAAACAAAATATTTTCTATTTGAACCAAAAAAGTTGGTCAAAAGTATTGTTTAAACTTTTTTTTCGACTTTTGAAGTGCATTTTTTTCAAACTGCAAAAAAAAAATTGAATTTTCCAACTTCTTCGGTTTTATTTTTAGTTCATATAGAAGAGACACTCATAAAAATTCAAAAAAAAAAAAAAAAAATTGGTTTGACTGTTTCCGGTGATCATCGGCACCGTTTCACAAGTTCAGACTGCTGCCACTCAATACAACATTGGAGAATTACAATATACAGATATGCCTGAATTCCGAAATTTTTTTTATCATTTTATTTTCTTTTTTTACCCCTTTTGGCTTTCCATTTTTACTGAAATTTTGTGTGTTGTAGAAAATGCGCCTTTCAAAACTAGTTTGAGTTTCTGCAAATACAACCAAATAAAAAATTCCATAATTTTACTTTTCTTCCAGCCGCTTCACTTTTCCCTACGCTTGCACTTACCATAAATTTGTTTAAATTAGTTACACGCTTGCGGCACTCTATTCGCTGTCAAAAATTTTTTACGCAAATTCCGCTCGTTTACCATTGATAAACTGCCCGTTGTAAACGCTGAAAATTCCAGAAGCTGGAAACATAAATTTTCAAAGAAGAGAAAAAAATAATACTTTCAAAAGCATTTCATAAGCGCTGCAACAACAACAACAATATAGGAAAGTTTGCAAATTTCCAAAAAAAAAAAAATTTAAAAGAAATGCATACGAGCAAACGCGGCAGCTGAGTACATGTCAGCGCAACTGAAAATTTATGACCAGCTTCCTAACGCACAGCAGTTGGGCCTTTGAGAAGCACAGTAGCGATTTGAATTTATTGCTGTGTAAAATGCGTTAAATTTTTTAAGTAAAATTATATTAAAAAAAAAATGCAAAAAAGTAATCTACGCTTACCTTTTGCCACTTTGCTGCTACAAAAAAAAGATTAAAATTAAAATAAAAAAAAGGAAAATCAAAAAATTGCCAAATATTGATTGATGACATCCGTCAAGCTACCGATTCAGCCGAATTCTGTTGTTGCGTGGCAAAAAGTCTCTACATACTGTAAAATATGTATGTACGTGTATGTATATACGACCTAAATGTCGTTTGCAGCATTTGCGGCCAACTTCACTTCAGTAGCTAACTTGCTTTAATGCATTTAATTTTTGTCTGGCAACCTTTTTAATATTCTCTGCATATATTTAATCTGTTGCGTTTGCTACGTCACAATGCAGGCGAGATGGACACTGCAAAACCGTTAGCTACTTTCATAAGCATACATGCATATGCACATTCATATACATATGTATGAACTCCATGTTACTGTCCTCACCACAGCTCAGCTATCAACAGTCAATTGATTTGGCCATTTTACCGGTCTGACCTTTAAAGCAAATTATGCCCGCAGTTATTTTCTTTGCTTCAGACAATAACTTTGCTGCTGCAGCCAGTTTTCTCGAAGCAGCACACTTCTGTTTTTGCCTTGTCGCGCTCTCTCTCTCTTTCTCTCGCTCTCTCTCTCTCTCTTTCTCTCTATGTTGCATTGCCTTTGAATATTCATGGGTACTTCATTGATGAATTCATGATTTTACTTAAAAAAAAAGATAAAAAATTGGTTTTAATAAGTTTTGGCTCAACTACACACACACACACATACATATATACATACATGCATACATATATATTGATTGAATAATTTCGCTTGGGTTACAAAGTTTTATTTTCTTTAGAGACACTTCTCGGTGTTTTAGCTTACATTTTTTTTAATTTTTCATTTACTTACTGCAATTTCTTTTACTAATTTTTTCTCTTCTTAATTCTCATTCGAATCAATTGATTTTCTTGCATTCACAGGCATCATTCCTTCCACAGCATTTAATGTTGCAAATAACAATTTGTTGCAGGCAGCTCTATTTGGCTTATCTTAGGCACCACTCCTTGTAAGCCTTGTTGTTGGTATTGTGGTGATTTAAATGCATTTAAGGGACTCCGTGGTTTCACTTCAATGTCAATTTTGGACGAAACCTTGTTTTGAAAAATTAAAAAAAAATTTAAAATTTTTTTAAAAATCTTTGTTTGTGCCTATAATGATGCTTGGTGAATGCTTTACCTTATTGAGGATTATATTTTGTTTGAGTTTAATGTGGATATCTTTAGAGTACTACCAGATAGTCTTGGGTTTATTATACTGATATCGAAACTTGAGTTTGAGCTACACATGTCACTGTCTGCTGTTTAGTTAGACTTCAACCAAGATTGTTCTTGAGTTTCTGGTTTTTATATTTTGAGACCTCAAATCACAATAATCTTCTTTTCCTGTTTATTGGAAAACCTTCTGTAGTACCTTTGATAGAAACTCAATAGGAAATAAACTAAACAAAGTCTTTGCCAAGAGTTCCGCTCTCCCAAACTACATATTGCAGAAGCCAGATGATGATCAAATTACATTTACATAACAAAGTGCTGAATATTCTTATAAATACCCAGTTTCCAGCATGCTCTACAGACCACCACTACCTTCTTCGAAGGACAGTCGAATCTTATTTCAAAAGCATTTTTTTTATCTCAAAAGAGTGCTGAGGGCTTAAAAAATCATTTCCACACTAGAAATCTCGTGCTGAACAACAGCTAGCTAAAGACATTCCATTCTCATCTATATGTAAAAATATACAAAACCTGACTGCAGGAAGAGTATATTCTTTGGGTATGACTCAAGGCTAAAGTGAACTTTATTCAAAATGAAGGTAGATTGAATGTCTTTATGTCCAAAGGATTTTCGGTCCATCAGTTTCAATCTCATTTCTCTTGAAAAGATTGGTCGACGCACCAAGAGTTACCGCCGAAGAGTCTATTGATAGATAGGCGTGTTATTATGAGGAAAAGTTAGTCGATACAGCACCATCTGATATAAACTTGGATATATTGAAGGCAAGACAAGCTCAAAGGAGTACACATTTTGCACCTTTCTTGGCATACGAGGAATTTTTAACAATATTCTTTCACAAAAATGGGTCTCGAATAGCCCATAGCGAAGCTTTTGAAGTCTTTCCTGAAAAATAGCGTCATTTTCGCTGAGATGAGCAGCGTCTGTGTCCCCAGATGTATCACAAGAGGCCTGCATTACCCTAAGATTGATCGAAAAATAACCTCAAGTTCTAAGTAATCTACTTTAAACCGCCACATGCATACAGGATGCATACTCGGTTATAAGGACGGTTGACTGTCTGTTAAACCCATAAAAAACGAAGGAGCTCCTTTTACCTGAAGGTACAAACCACTACTACTAAAAAGCATTCAACTTTCTGCACCGTAGTCTTGAGAAAACTCAACTGAAGGCATTGGCAAAGAGTGGAGTCTTAAACCGAAAGTCCAGACCGAAATATCCACTATAACATTTCTTCTATCACATTTCATCTATCACATTTCTTCTATCACATTTCTTCTATCACATTCATCTTCAATGACAGGCAGACAACAATTAAAACTGTAGACTCGAACACGACTCAAACTCTAAAATTGCTTTCGAGTCACTGGTCATTGAGGCATAGAAAGGAAGTGTAGATCAGACGAATTTGCTAGATATGATATGACCAAGCAGATTCTTCAATATAAAGAGCGCGGTGATATGACTCTAATTATGTGCGAAATGTCGCAAAAGGAATTATCTCAGGCAAGCCACATAAAACTTGAGCGAATTTGTTTACGGGGCAAGGCCGAGTGGCTTCTATGCTCAGAACAGCTAATAAAGTGGCATATACGAGTATTATATGCGAGAAATTACGAAAGCAGAAGTACACTTTGCTGTTATGGTTAGGCTTTAAGAGGATAAAGTAAGCGCTCTCTGTAAAGGAGAAGATTATTAAAGTGATTCTTGGATTAAGTGTGTCGAAGCTCGCGATGCTTTCATTGAAGACTTTGAGTACTGTAAAAGCGATCCACTGAAAAGTGGGGTAAAAATAATTCTCTTAGTTCTCTTTTTCAATATAAATCATCCTTAACAAAGATCACGAACACCACGAATAAAATCACTACATTCATTCATACGATATTGTTTTTTGAACGGTATAACTTACACTGCGCTTGAGAGCTTTTTCTGAAAACTGAGCTTTTCTAGAGCTTTCTCTAAAATTCCACAATTTTTTGTTGTAAAGGAAAATAATACAAGAACTTTATTTTTCTTAAAAAATCAAATGTTTTAAATCTTAAAAAAAGATTGTCAAAAACTTGTGCCAAACGCCAAAATCGACAGTTTCGACATTTAGGGTTACACACAAAGTAAAAAACAAGAAAGCAAGAAAATAGATACGAACGAAACTTTTTGCATAAAAATAAGTAAATTTCCAAGTTTTCGCACTTTTGTGCAGCGGCTGCCTGAAAGTTACCACACAAAAGAAATTAAAAGCAAAAACAAAAACAAAAAATGTGAAATAGTACCAAGAACTAAAGCGAGAAGAGAAAAAACGCAAAAATAAGGAAACAAAAATAGTTTAAAAACTACAAACCGAAAGTTTGCACAAAACTTCTGAAGCCAACGAATATTTCAAATGCGGTGCCGAACTATACTAGAGTACACATTGACACGCACACACACACACACACACACACACACACGCACACACCAACAAAATGAAATGAAAAGTTTCGGGCATAAAAAAGGAGAACTACAAGCAAAGCAGTTTTCAGTACTTTTGCTCCACTTTTGCAGCAGTGGCAACAAAGTTCATGCATTAGTACATATGTACATACAAGTGTGTATTCGCATATATAAATGTTTGGTATATTTAAAACACGCTGCCGTATATGCGGTAACGCTTGCCTGCAGGGCTATTTATGTGCGGCTCTTCTCTACTTTTTAAAACTCCAAACCGAAAAAAGAACTACAATCAACCGCTGCTGGACACTTAAGTTGCCGCAGTCTGTTTCATTATTTTTTTTTTTCCGTTTTATTCCAACATCTTCTGCCCGACTAAATGACTTGCCACGAAAACTTATCAAAAGTTGTATGCTTGCATTTGTAAAGACTTAATAAATATTTATATGTGTGAGTATGTTCGTTGGTCGGTGTAAGTCACTCGTAGCTGCCGTTACTCTCTCCAGTCAGTCTCGACGAGGCAAACTACCCTCTGGCTATTTGTTGGCGAGGCAGTGGCGGCACACCACAATGCAACTAATTCAACGCGCTCACTCACTAAGCGTAGCCGAAACTGAAACCATATCATTATACGGTTGCACTTTTGGGGTTGGGAATGAGCTCCACCCTTGCCTCAGCGCACACACATACATGACATACATTAACACGCGTACACATGGTAAGCGAAAACAGATGAGTTGTGGTGAAATAAAAACGCAAATGAGCAGGTATCGATGTGGCACCTCCGCCTTAACTTGCCATGGCACATTCATTTGACTTGCTATTTAATCGGATAGTCCGTCCGAGTTGCTTCATCATATTCCTTTCAACGTAATTGGTGCTATGTGGCTTTTAAATGCTCCTTTTGTTGTTTATGCAAAAAAAAAAAAGCTGAATGCTTCAGTACAAGGACACAATTCTTAGTGAATTAAGTCCTGGGTTTATTTAAATTTTATTTTTAGTTAAAGTTTATTTTTTTTTAATTTTATTTCAATTTCATTTATGTTAACTTATTTCATTTAACCTAAATTAGTATTATTCTGATTTTAAAGCATTTTATTATTTTATTTGTTATTTTATTTTTCTATAAATTAATTTATTATTATCCTTTGTTTTTACATAATTTAATTTTAACTTAGTTTATTTTATTTCATATTTTAGTTATTTTTAAATTGATTTATTCGATTTTAGATTATTTTATTTCATTTTATTTAACTCTTTATTTAATTTTAATTTAATTTATTTGACTATATTTTGTTCTATTTTATTTTTTAGTTACATTGAGTTTATTTTATTTTAAATCAATTTCCTTGTTCAA